GTTCGTCTGCCAAACGTTCCTCCCTTGGTTTCCCTCCGCCCTGCCCCCAAAGATACTGTTGAAGTCCTTCCGCATGATACACCTCTTCCCGTAGTACACAGCATAAGGCAAAACATCCACTCTGGACTTCTCCGGCAGCAGCAGTTTGCGTATACTGGAATGCACACCATCAGCGCCTACGACGAGTTCCCCGCCCTCCCACATCTCGCCATTGGCAAAGCGCAATCTCGGTCCCGTGGGCGTGCTATTGACTTGTTGGAGGGAATAGCCCAACCGGATATCCAGGTCTTGACCTAGCAAATCTTCGAACTTCGCGCGGTTGGCGCGGAAGGAGGTGGAGGTGTCGTATAAGCCGCCGTGGCTGGGTATGTCTATGTTTTCGCCATGTTTGCCTTCGCCGCCGTCTTCGGCGTCAATGGCGACGTGGGCTTTGAACGCTGTGTCCGAGAGATTTAGGATTTCCAATAAGGGCTTGTAGGCGGTGGAGTGCAGGGTGATGGCGTAGTTGAAGCCTCGCCGGTTTGGAGGCGCTTTGTCGAAGACTATGCTGGGGATGCCGCGGTGGAGAAGGCTGCGGCTTAGGGTTAGGCCCGCTATGCCCGCGCCGATTATGGTGATGGGCTGTTTGGGCATGGTTCTGGGGGCATTTGGGGAGGGAATGGTAGGTTGTTTTATTCTATTGGGGGTGTTAGTAGGATGGCGATAGCGGATGGGGATGACTTGTGGTGATCGGACCAATCAGCGGGCTGCAGAATGTGGGTACAGGTACGAGTCAGTCCACGGCTCTATCAATTTCTGAGCATCCATACACTCAGTATGGTCAAGTCATGATCATCGAGCATCACCAATACCAGGAAATTTCGCGTATTTTGGAATTGGTAGAATTGTTCATTAGACATACACCACAATGGTGACGCTCTACAAGTAAATGTAGCACAGCGGCTCTCCATCTAGTGTGCTCATCATATCCTCGATAGTTGTAGGGTCCAGATTGAGGTAGTTCATCTCAATAGGGTCGTCAAGCCTAGCGTCACGGCTGGGTGGCTGGTTGAAGATGGTGATGGTGCCAGCAACGGACTTGGCTTGGTCGAGATGGAGCGCCTGCCAGAGCCACCATACGCGGTCCACCATTGCGTGGTGTAGGAAGAAAGCAGGGTCGTTGGGGCTGCTGAAAACATCACCGCCGTCACCTCCAATTGCGAAGTGGCCTGCGCCGTGCATACCGAGGAAGCCGTCAGGGAAACGTCCCTGGAGCTCGTCCTGGAAGCGTCCAACGTTCTTGGAGGCCGTTCCAAGGGTGACGTTGTAGAGGTTCTCAAAAGTCATCCATGTGGAGGATGCGTATGAGGTGAGATCTCTCTTTGCGCAACGTGGGTTCCATTCGAGTGGCGATTTGACGGGTACCTCGCCAGCCATTGCTGGAGAGACGGGACCAAGGTTGATTTGCAAGCTGAATTTGTTAGAAATGTCGCATACTATAGGGCTGAGATCCCGGACTTACTTCTTGAACGGACCATCCTTTATGCAGCCACCTCCTGCGCCAGAAGGCAGCGCAATCGTGCCTTTGCCGCCTGCACTTCCATTGTGCTTCACATACTCTCCATCGCCGCCCATGCTTGTCGCTGAACCATCAAAGACAGGGTGCTTGGTCAGGTCATCTGTGTGGGCGAACCAGTTCCAGTAGGGCTGGTAACCTTTGTATCCGCATTCTTCTCGGAGCGCCTTCTCGTAGCCATGTACAAAGTACCTGTGCCAACTCAAGAAGTTACCGGTTCCGTGGATCGTTAACGTTTGGTTGATATGTTGTGCGACAAAGTCGTCGTAGCGAGTCTTTGCACCAGGTACCAGGGTGGGATCGGATTGAGATGGAGCATCGAACATGCACTGTACGGCACTGATGTATGCTTTTCGCTCTTTCGCACTCATGATAGCCCTTGCGCGTGTGTTAGTCTTACTGCTCAAAGAGATGCTTGAGGTTCTTACCAATCCTTGCGAACAGAAGCATTGAAGATAGAGCAGCTACCTCTTTTCTCGAGAGTACCATTCTTCTCCGCAGCCTTGAGGTTTTCAAGAGCCTGGTTCTGAAGATCCGAAAGCAAGTCCCTCTTTTCAACTGCTAGAGATTGGGCAGCACCGGCGAATGCCAGAAGGGCAGTTGGAAGGCCGGATAGACGCATCTTGTTTGACGTTGAGTGAACGAGAAGGGTAATTGAGAACGACTTCCGTTGCTTGGCTGAGCGATGAGAAAGTCCATGTGTGGTGGGGGGTATGCCTTTTAATATGCTTGACTGCCGATACCGCGCCACCGAGGAGCACCTCAAAGCTCTACAGACGCATGCAGAGACTGGGGTCGGACACTTATAGCCGAAGAGGCGACCACAGGCTATCTCGACTGGAGCCTGCGGATGAGGTGAGGACTGCTAGTCATGGTCGCTGACGGGCGACATTCTAGATGTAGCTGAGGATTTTGGTTGCCTTAGTTAGCATAAACCCGGTGTGCTGTGCGGCGCAAAGGCCAATTGTGGTATTCCCGAGTGGCATGAGCCGGTGGGTGTGATCTGCGAGGTACGAAGGGTTTGCAGATGCAATCTGCAAGACACCATCCCTTGGTCTTCGAAGTGGCATGTACCTGTGAGCTCGCTGGATTGGTCTTGATCATGTAAGCCTGTTCGAGGTGTAGAAGCCACCTAGTGATCCTCTCGGATTCTCTCTACTTGCCGTGCGGGAAAGTGATTCTCAATGCGAAGGACATTGCTGAATGAGAGAGGCCCACCGTCGCTAAGCGAGTATTCGCAGGATCGACGCACGGGTAACATGCTCGTGGGCTTCATGAGCTGCGAGCACGACATCGATTGCTCACACGTGGTACACGTGGTCGGAAGATCTTATGTACCGACGCAGGTTTGTGATTACTGTATACATAGGGAATGAAGGGTTTGGGGGATGATCTTTCCATGTGTTGACGCTGAGATTCCGAAATTCCCGAATCCTATGCGAGCGGGCCACTCTATCGAAAAGGATCGCGGCGACATGTTGGGTCGTCCCACAGAGGCTAGATGCTGCAGGTGCCCTGGTGGTGAGATAGCTACGCCGCAGCCGTGAGCGCCAGCTGGATCGTGCGTCGCGGCTCGACCGCCTCGAACGCCGCGTCCCGTGTGGGACGGCACACTAGCAACATTGCCATTCTCCCGAGGTTCCGAAGCCTCACTCTGCAATACTATCTGTTTCGCTCTGCCGCCTCCGGTACCTTCACATATCAATGTTAGGATGATCAATAAGGAGCGCAAAAGTCGACATGCAGAGGAATCGTGGCATTCGTCTTCTTCGGTAGAACTCCCGAAGAGAGCGACTCGAGTCTTCCATGAATCCTTCCACGGGAACACGCGAACCCCTTACATGTCAACAGCTCCAGGCTCTACTATCGTACTAGGACCTCTGATAATGTCTTCTCGGATATGGTACCACATATGGGCTGTGAAGGATCGCGGCGTCGCTAGGGTGTAGGAGATTTAACCTACCTGTTGCCGGTTCCGAGGACACTCCAACTGGGATCAGGCTACTGCGAGTGTGCCTCCGCCAATCACATCACCAATGTGACATGGTTGTTCCGTCGCAAAACGTACATACAACGCACGCGAGGTGGCGAACGGAAGTTGGCCATCGCCGAAGGAGTACTCGTTTTCTGACCCATACTGCTGGGCTCTCGATTAGAAACCAACTGCGTGAAGAGGGTATGCTCCGAAATCCTGAAGGCGAATTGGCGCAAATACACGGCATCTGCTCCCCGAACTCATGGTTCAGGAAGCTGGAACCAGTCACCTGGGTGTCATATGGTGATTTCATGCGAAGCCGCGGCGTAGTCACCCCTAGATGTTCCATAGAAAGCCGTTTTATCCTATAGACGCCAACCTTAGATCTACCTCGCTACGAGCGGCGAGGCGGGAAGACCTGGAGTTTAATTGAGCTTGTGGTTGGTGGTCAAGTTGCATACCTACTTGAACCGCTTTTAACACAGCCTTGCCCTCAAGGCCGCATCTCGTCGTTCTCCAGTCGGATGTTTTGACGGCCTCTCATATTCTTTCTATGCAGTCATGACTGCACCATCATCGCAGGCGGATTTAGATCCTCAATGGGCGGCACAAAGCAACCTTACTCGTTTCCTCGCCCTTACTGGTGTATTCCATATCCTCGCCCTGATCAGCGTCGGTCTTCGTCTTTATGCACGCATAGGCCTGCTTAAATCGCCCGGACGAGATGACTATGTGATCGTCCTAGCTGCTGTGAGTAACTATTCTCTGCTCAAAATCACTGATCTGCAATGCTCACTCCGATAGCTTGGAGCTTTGGTTGGCTGGATCTGCTTCTTCTTGCAAGGGCCCTACGGTCTTGGTCGACACACCGCAACCCTTTCGCCAGATGATAGACGAATCTGGGACCACATCGCCTTTTGGCAGAGCATCATTTCTGCTATGGGCGCGCTCGGATTGTTGAAAATCTCCATTGCTTTCTTCTTACTCCGGTTGAGCAATCACAGATGGTACTCACGCACACTCTGGGCATTGATTGGTGAGTTTCTTGGCTGCTGTATGGCGCTTCCATGGTGTATAGGTCTGACAAGATGCTGTTAGGCTTTGTCATCTTTTATACCGTTCTCGCCTGGCTTACCTTCTTCGTACGCTGCAAGCATTTCTCTGGCTTCTGGGATCCTAAGTACGCACACACTTGCTATCCGTTGAAGTATGTCATGCACTTTGGAATAGCAAACTCAGGTAAGACTGCAATTGCGACGGTGCGAGATCCATTGGCTGATACATTGGTAGCCTTCAACATCTTCACTGATGTTTGCTTCGCCACATTGCCCATACCTATCGTATGGAATCTCCAGATGTCTTCACGGACGAGAATCAGCTTGATAGCTGTACTCAGCTTAGGCTATGTGTAAGCTTATCATATACTCATTGCCCGCATTCCATTGCTCACTGTCTTTTAGTGCGGTGATCATGGGTATTGTCAAAACGGTATATCAACTCACCATCGTCAAAGACAACGACTCGCATTTGTGCGTGATACCCCGATTCTTCAAGTTTGACTGGCTGTTTGACTAACACAACACACAGCAACAACAATGTACGATTCTGGGGCTTGTAAGTATACTTTTCCCGATGAACTACGCTTGCATGTAGCTAGTGCTAACGACTTCTTCTTTCAGTGTTCAGCTCAATGTTGGAATCATTGCCGCCTCAATACCCACGCTAAAGCCACTTTTGCGAAAGATCAGCAAGTCCACGAACAGCAACCAGTACAATCAATTCCATGACGGCGACAAAGCCAGGACCATTGGCAGCGCACCACCTTCCAGACCTCGCAAATCGATCTTGACCACGCTGAGCGGTACACGGACGGACAAAAACGCTGATACCGAGGCATATGAGATGTGGAGGGCGACTGCAGGATCGGCACAAGGCGGGAAGAATGAGATCTATGCTGTCAGCGAAGAGCGCGCAGGAAGTGAGGACTACATTCTTGGAGGACATTCACACGATTCGAAGCAGATCAAATGCACAACAGAGGTGACTATCAACAATGAGGGGACCAATTGCAGGGTCTGAGCCCTTAGATCGGGTGCGCGCAGGCTGAGGGGCTTCCCAGGCCACTGACCGGAAAGTTGTGCCTTCCCTGACAACCACGACAAAAACGATTGTACTATATACTGAGGATTAGTGTTTATACCTACTGTCTCATATGTCTTCTACAATACACGAAAGCAATAACGCAATCCAAATTGGCAGCGCAATCACTGACGGTCGATGACTAACGTCCGAATGGATGGCTATGGATTTGGTGGAAGTTTTCGCCAAGTTTACACCCACGGTTCTGCTCATCACACACGACAGATCAGTGTCGTCAGACTCTCCAAGATTTTAAACAAATCATGACACACTGAATCTTGCACAACCTAGTCCCATGTTGCACTCCATGCATGGACTTTTGGGAGATCATAAGCGAATGCATCGAGCAACAGTACTAAAGTTTGTAATAAGACAGCCAATTTCCGTTCTTCTAGCGATCACATGCTTATAAATATCATCGCAGCGTCCAAACAACTCGAAAGCCAAGGTTCAAGAATAGCGCGAGCCCTTCAAGCATCATATGTGACCAGAAGATTGGCAGTTCAGCAAAACCCTCTATACCTAGGTAGTGTCGACTGATCTTTCTGACAACGACTGGCACCTTGGATGACATGGAGAACTTGGAAGGGCATCATGCGCACAAGAGAAGTGACTGTCCAACACACAGAGAAGGCAGACCAGAGGTGAACATTGGTGCAATGAATTCGAGCTACATAATGAAGATCCAAACAAAAAATACATTGGCATCGTCCCGGATGCAGGTACGCCACATCATTGGCACGGAAGCCAAATTCCCGTACCCACTTTCTTCGATTTCTTTTTCCCAGTACCAAGTTACCAATAGTGTCTACGCTAAAGGTACATGTGCGTCCTGCGTCCGAGTAGTAAAACTCCGGACGACCCTAGGTAGCCGCCGTCAAACCAGATTTGTGCCACACCATCCACACCCGCTTTGCCAAGCCAAATACCCGCTGCCACAGCCACCAAAGTAGTACGAACCATTGTGTCGTATATTCTGCATCCAATCAGATACTCGAACGTAGTTCTCGTAATGATGGCTGACGGAAGGGGCTGTAAGGCTGGGCGAGTGGTTCACGTCATGTAATGGGGTAAGGCTTTCTTGGTTTTGGTACGAAGGAGGCGCGTGAGAGATATCGGGGGCTTGGGGGAAGAGTTGGTAGTGGGTATTGTTAGTGTTGTAGGTAAATGAGAGGTTGGCAGCATCGCACGTCAGATGGGGTGGAGATCGTAGCGCAAGCAGCCTTGCGCGCCTTACTGTGCCGCATGCTGCGAGTTGTGCCGCAACGTGGTTAGTGGGTCTGGTATGTAGCGCGGTACTTGGTCGATGTCAGCAGACCGTGTTGGTGGAGTGCGGCTATGAATGTGCCGTGTTGGCTGTGTGACGATGGGATGGCGATGTCTCTTGACGTGGTCTCCACTTTGCTACAGTCAGCTTTCGCTGGGCACAGTCATGGCACTTTCCAAGGAGAGATGATGAGATGCGAGCGATACAGGCCCTTCGCGATACTGTCATTGATCTCGCATAAGGGATACATCGTACAATGAAGAACATCATGAAGAGAACTACCATTGTTCTAGTATTTGCGAGCGCAATGCAAGCGAACAGCTTTTAGAATTAACCAAAGGACACACCCGATCCTTGTGCACTATAGCCACCAGATGCAAAAAAACGTAAACGCCCATAGCCATGCCGATGCCCAGCAGTAACAACGAAGTCCCACACAGTCGTGTGAACCATGAAAACCAAAGGGTATCGTAGATGTAAGAGATGAAATGAAAGGTTACAAGAAAAGAAAATCCATGCCCTGCCGTAGATCTTGCGGGACGAAAATAGCCGCGCGCGACTAACCTAATTATGGAAAGATCGTAGAAGGCATGAGAAAATGGTAGTGTTCGTAACTGACTCGAAACGAGCGTCGCAAGCTCGGCGCTTATTACTTGGGACCATAGACCCAGTCTGTGAGATGTTAGTGGACTATTCTAGCTGCGTGGGTGTTTCGGGTATACTTACATTGCGCAGCGTACTTGACTTCCCATGTGGCTGGCATGCCTTTGCATGTAGCAGGCTTGTTACCACCGGCAGTCTCGACACGGTAGACGGTGTTGATTCCTCCCTGAGTGATGCCAGTCTTGTGCTGTAGGTATAGCCAGTCGACGGCAGGTAGACCGTTCTTGCCTGGGCATGCGTACGATGGTGCACTGACGTTGCTGATCTTGGCCACTTGGGTCATGGGGAATGGCGTGCTCAGTTTGTCGAAGGCGAATGTTGGTGTGTTCGCTCCTTCTACGTCGGCGAAGAAGTGGTGACCGGTGATATGTTCGTAGCCCTGGAGTCGGAGGCTCATGTCGACTAGCCCAGGAGCCACTTCGTACAGTGAGAGTGCGAGAGGGGTGATAGAGGGAATCTTCCACTTGGCATATGCTTCGTCGTTGAGCTTCGTACCGATATCGTATAGGGTGGCTTGGTGGTTGTTAGCTCCTTTCCTGTCAAGTTGAGTGGGTTCTTACCGAATGCGCCAGTAGTACCAGGAGCCGCGCTCTCATCAGAACCGCAAGTGTAATTTTGTGTGCCGATGCCGAGCACAACGTACTTGAGATCCAAGTCGCCTGGGGCTTGAAGAGCGCTCTGGGGAAAGAGTTTGGCGATCTTGTTGAGGTTACGGGCGGGAGCGTATTGCGGTTTGGCAGGTCTTGGTAGGGCAGCTGCAGTGGCAGATGCGGCAAAGAGCAGTGCCGTAGTGATGGTAGAGAAGAGCATGATAACTGGTTATGATGATACTCAAGGATGAGGAAGTGTCGTTGGTAATGCGATACTCAAGGTTGAGGAAGTGTTGTTGGTAATGCGATATGCGAGGCTGGTATATATACTGCGACCGAGGAGCGATGAAGATGTACTGCGACCGAATGCAAGAGGAGCGATGAAGTGATCGATGATATCAAAATAGAAGTGACGTCCCTTAGTCTTTGCTAGCGTGGAGAACTCGAGGCTGGTATCGTTGTTACACTACCTCTTAGACCAGGCGGTTCGACAGACTTATACTTTCGTCTGTAACCTTCGCGCTTGGCCGTTAGACAGGCCCGCCGGCAAGGGCACGCATGCGCCGCCATGTGTAGGTACATCGGCACGGACCATGATCCTGACCAGATTTCCTACTATTATCCTTGAAGCGATATGCACGCCAAATTGGTGATACCTGGAGGTGGCTTTAGCGTCTCAGGGTAATCCGCTTTCCGCATGTCACCTTGCCGCTCTCGGCATCTGGCTAAAAGGCTTGTGTCTGCTGTAAGCGCTGATACGTGCAATCTTGCGATGAGAAGGCAGGGATGGGCGAGCGATACGATGGGCATTACCTGCCTTCTAGTGAGCCGCATTCCGGTGGCGCTCTTCTATCTTCGTGTTGAGCCTCCATTCGCGCTCCCAAGTCTTGTGAACGTTGGTTTTTGCAGACATGGCCTCCACGCTCATCGCGATGTCTGACAGCGAAACCTCGATTCTGCCTTAGGGAGGCGGCGCAGTTGGCTCAGGCTCGTCACAGTCAACCAACGTCCAACGAAGGATTCTTTAGTTTCAGCATCAGGCCCTCCAGACGAACACCAAACGTCGGCAGAAGTGCCCACAGTTTTGGGGATTGGGTTTGCACTTGCTCGAACGGGAGGTTGGATACCACAACGCCCAGGCCTCCCTGGCCTTCACCCGCCGCCTGTGCGCTGCAGACGCCACGCATCGCACGGCTGATAAATGACCTGATCTGGCCGAACAAAGTCAGTAAATGACCCGATAGCGGCATGCACGCACTATCGAACGCCCCGCTTCAAGCCCAAATGTTGGCTAATTAACTGGGTACTCAACAGAGATTAACGGAAGATACGGCAACCGTGGGTTCTGGAAAGGCGTCCTCAGGTAGCCTTCGGAAGGAGATGCGGCGTGGGTCTCGTGCTCGTCTCATTGCATGCCCAGGTGTGCTTCCGCAAAGTCACCGATGCTACGCACAGCTTCGGTTAGGCGCATCTGCCGAATCTGAAGCTCGTTATGTGCGAGCTTGAGCATCCGTCCTATCCAAAATAGACAGGACTTGTTTCCTTACGCCTAGATCGCGATGTTGGTGTAAGTGAGGGGCTGCGTCCCCAAGCCTGGAAGCTTGCCCTTCGTCTTCGATACCGGCACGCGCACACCGCAAAACTTCCACGGGTGTGGGAGGTGTGCAGCAAAGCCGTTAACCCTGGAGCCCAGAACCAGGTTACCCACGAGCCGCAAAATGCGCTCTAATCGTCTGACGGAGAAATGCCATGGCCTCATTGGCAATAAAAGAGGGGTAATGTTGGCTTATTAGCCTGCTGCAAGGCTATGGAAGCAGCGACATTAGTCTTCTTTCTTTTTCGCATCCACCGTAAGCTGGTGACACACCCGTCTAGCTAGCGAGCATACTCGTGGTGCATTGCGGGACGACGTTGCAGCCGCCACCAGGAAGTCGGTCGGCGTGTTTCGTTTAGACAGGTGAGTGACAGGCCGTGCGGACTCACTGCGGAGAATCTTTCGCAGTGACAACCGTTTCGAAACCCATGAAGTTCGCAGAGTGAGCTGTGTCAGAGCTCAAGCGAACGGTTTCAGCGGTGATCCCGCAGAAGGTGCGACACTTCCCCAGCTCGATGAACGTCGCTCGAACGCTTGCAGGAGGCACCCTTTCATTCCTGAGGCCAAGATGCGAGTGCGCGCGGGATGTTGGGCTCCTGTCAGCATCCTGAAGTGCTTTTCAAACTCTTTGACAGCTCCTGCATTGGCTGCATGGTGGCAGTCGAGACTGTGACACCTACCGTGACGGCAATCGTCTCCCGTTCTGCATTCGTTTGCCTAGCCCTGCTTCTGGATAAACCGGCATGATTTGATACTCCAGATATCGAAGGAGGCCGGTCATGTGCGACTAGGGTAATTGTTGTGCTTGGAGCGGCTATCTGTTTGTCCCGATTACATACAGATTTGAAGAAGACACCCTTCCATAACCCCCCTTCACAAGCACCCCAACGCTATCAGGGAGCCTACATTGGTCCCGCACTTCTCCCTGAACTCTCCAGCCGCCTTTCTGTCGGTACCAGCCTACACTTATGAACTTCCTCCGTTGCTTGCATCGCTCTCGTATCTGTCACGGAAGCTATTTATTAACTGAATGTTCCTGAACAATCTTATGAGTGCGGTAGCCTTGACCTCCGTCTTCCTGATTTCTGCTTTGTCTATACTATCGATTATGTTGTTTAGATCGAAATCTAGTCTAGCTTTGCCGTGTGTGGATTGTATGCGGCGGAAGTACGCTTCTGTATGGCAGTCGTCGTTCTCTTTACTATAGACATGTTCCTACGATTTGCGCTCCAACCGAAGCGTGTCTAGTCGCGTTTTGGTGTATGGGGATTTTTGGAGACGAAAGGCTTCGAACGCCTGTTTCGCCAGGTCGCTCACGGTTCCTTGAGTTGGCCTTCGTGCTCGAACGTAGGTGGTGAGCTGGAAGAAGTTGTTTAAAAAGGTCTTCCAATCGAAAGCGATGGTTTTGTTGTCAAGGTTGATTGATACATCCGTAAGCTGGGCGTTGCCGACATAACCGCTAATCAAAGCTATTTGTCTTGTCTAGTATTGCCTGTCGACTCGCTTCTTGAAGTCTAGGTAGCGAAAGGGGATCAGCTCGGCGAAGGTCTTTTCTAACAAGGGTTTGTACTGCGTCTGATTGTATAGTCTTCGCATATATGCCGCCTCTAGATTTTGTAGTGCCTCTAGATTGCGCAGTTCGTATTTAAATGCGGCTGTGAATTGAGCTCGTAGACTATCCTTAGTGAGACCTTGGAATTCTAGATCTTCGACGTTGCAATCGAATTCATGCAGCCTGTTTTCGTGCATGATTTCTCCCATAGATGCCCAATTGATGCGCAGCTGTGGAAGACGTGTCTTAGCAAATTCGCGTTCGGCTTCAGCCCGGAAGGTTCGCGAGACCTGTCGGCAAATGACCCAAAGCGTGTACTCGTCTTCCACGTGATGGAGGATCTGCGCCCATAGCTCCGCCGGCAGATGAGAACACGGTCGCTGGGTCGTTGTGTGAATTGACCTGATCTTCAGAACGAGAACTTTTGCCAACAAAAGGAAGGACCTGCTCTTCGTTAGATATCCATGCCTACTGTTTTGAGAGTCATCTCAATTACAGTGCACCGGCTGCAACCGTGACCTCTTGCGAGGGCGTCATCATAATCAGTTGTTAGTATTGTCAGTAACGATTTGCTGCGAATGAGATTGGAAAGAAAGAGTAATGAAAGTGGCAAGAAAAGGATTAAAGGTAGTGTTTGTGGGGAAGCGTTTGTTGACGTGGTCAAAGCTCTACTTCACTGACGAAAAGCGCGACGAAGCAAACACGGGGAGATTAGGGTCCTCAGATAAGAAAAGTGACGAGGTGGCGTCCTTTGATGAGTTTGCTTTGGAAGTCTTTACGGGACGGAGAGGCCTCTCCTCTCCTCCTCATCACTGGAGGAGACCAATGCAATCCTGACACTGTCCTGCCGCCTGATCTGTGTTTGTTGGTCCCTGACCAATCTCATAGGGCCTCGATAGAACGCTGACAGTAGATCTGAGAGGTTGAACGCATCGACGATGGCATTGAGTGGTCCAGCGGCAGGACTGCCGTGTTGCTTATACGGTAATGGCGAGAATGCAAAGAGCAAAAGTACGGCGAAAAGTGGCATTTCGCAGGCGAGGATGAGTGACGCAAGACCATTATTGACATCATGGTACGTCATGTACTTTGTAGGTTCAAGCTTTCCGTGGCCTGCAAGCAGCGAAATGATGAACTGTGAGGGTGGTGTCAGTATGTCGTATATATATTGGCTACTTCAGGGGATTGTTGAGCGTACCGATTGGAGAAAATTCAGACCGAGGATGCCCTTGAATGTAACCAGTTTGAGTATGATCCGATGCTTCTGTAGCAACTTCTTGTTGTTCTTGTAGAACCTTAGTGAACAAACGATAGCGGCCGTTGTAGTGTAGCCAATGAGTATCGTGAGCCAGAGATGGGCGAAGTGCACGTCGTTAGATTGCTTGCAGTAGGTACCAGTAGCGAGGGTAACTGCTGTGGAGATCCATATGACGATGCTAGTCGGTATAAACTGGAGTACGCCGTACCAGGTACGCTGCAGAGTGTCAGATAAGGTCTCAAAACTTTTGACAGAAGTGTTAGAATTACCTTGAGCCACATTGGACCATTCACTTTGAGCGCGCCCTTGGCTTTGGCTCCCTCTCCAAACAACCCATCGAATCCTTCCTGATGCGATAGGACAAGATCGCACATGAACAGTAAGAACGACGAAAGTGCGATCGAGCAACCAAAATCGAGTGAAGGGGCTAGGTATTCTCCAATGTCGCTTCGCCAGACAACCAGGAAAGAGAAAAGGGCGACCCATGGTATCAAAAGCATGATCCTGATGATCTGTCGTTGTTGTACGGGGTTCGAGTAGTTGAAGGCGTGAAGTGCGATCAATGCCCCGACGATCAGTGTGCTGAGGATGGCACAGGCACCGGATAAGATCGTTGCGAATTGGTGGAATGTGAGGTTGCCGATGAAGGGAATGATCTGTGGACCATGAGCATCTTCCAATGGACATGTCTTAGAGTCATCGCGCCGCTCGAGATGGTTTCTCGCTCTGAGCATTAAATTATTCATACTCGGCTGTTGATACCTTGCTTGATAGAGCGTGGGAGGTTTCAACAATGATTAGGAGGAAGATAAGACTGGATTGTAATGGTTGAGAAGATCCAAAGATTGTTTTGACGGGGTAATGAACGAATTCATGCTGAGCAGCACGACTTCTATACATATACTTACAGGCCCATCATCTCTCCAGCTCAGCTGGCAAACTCGTATAACGTAGCCACGCTTCAGGCCGCCCGCACATTCGTGGCAGAGCCATACAGACTGTCAAACTCACAACCACCGCTGAGGATGCCAGATAAGGCAAGGAGAAACCATCGCAGCGCATGTAAGCACTGGAGGTAGGCCTTGGCGAGGCTTATGACCGTCTCCACGGTGCTTAGCAGGTGTTGACACGAGTGCAGTATAGCGATGCGGCGCAGCAGCACGATCAGGCAGCGCTACTAGTCACGGGGTGGAACCTGATTCGCAGGAGGAAGATGTGCTTGCGTGGCAGAGCGTAGGGTCTGGCTGAATGGCTGGAGTTCGCAGGGCGAGTTTTATGCGCAAAGTGTACTTAAAGAGGAGGGCGATGCGATTGGGTGATCGAGAGGCTGAGCGGGATGATGCACGTGGATCGTGTTGAGCGCGGCACGGCAAGCGATCTCACATCCACCAAAACGCCGAACGTAAGGATCACGTCCAAAGAATATCTCACAATGTAATAAACCTTGAGCTATCAGTAATCGAGGACGAGTCTGCGGAAGTGGCCGCACATCTTCTGATCGATTCAAAAGCGACTGATGCTACCCTTAGTACATGTTTGTTTTATGTTTCACCAAAGTTGGTGTACAGCCTGGTCTAACATATGGTTGGCAGATGTGATTTCTTCATTCCTAGCGACTGCTCCTGGCTTCTATAGCAAGGATTACGCAGAAGACACCTTGCGTGATTACATCTAATCATCACCACCACCTATCGGACCGCTCACTTGCTTGGCCGATTTCGCAGCAACGATGTCGTCCACCCTGAGCAATAGGCAAGCACTCTCGACGGCAGTCTTGACGCTCTGCTCCTTGACAGCAAGAGGCTCCCAGACGTTGTATGTCCGCATATCGACGACCTTGCCTGCATCGCCATCAATACCCCAGACACTGCCAGTTTGCTTGCCGTCTTCGTAGCCCTCCGCATGCTTCGCGCGCAGTTGGGTGAGCACCTTGATAGGGCTGTTTCCGGAGTTTTGAATAAGTGTGCGCGGGATAACTTCCATCGCTTCGGCGACGGCCTTGTATGGCCATTGTGCGACACCCTCGATCAGCTTTCCTCTCCGGTCTAGACCGACCGCGACGGCCATCTCAGTGGCGCCACCGCCGGGGCAGAGCTTAGGGTTCCAGATGACATTCCTGGCGACACCCATAGCATCATGGAGATTCCGCTCGATCTCGTTCAGGATGTCTTTCGAGGGTCCTCGGAGCAGGACAGTGCATGCCTTCGGGTTTTTGCACTTTGTGAGGAAGGTGAAGTATTCGTCGCCGATCTTGGAGATCTCGAACAGACCGCACTCGGTACCAATGTCTGAAGCGGTAGCTGCGAATACGGAGTTTACGATCGTCGCACCGGTCGCACGCGCGATACGGTTGTTGTCTGTCTTGCGGACTCGGCGGATGGCAGTAATGTCGGCCTTGACGAGGTAGTGCTGTGCGAGATCTATTCGATGTTAGCAAGCGCATGAAAGGAGTGAATCGATGTAACCTACCGCTGACACCCTTCTCAGTAATGACGAGATCAGGCTTGAGAGCGACAATGGCATCGCACATCTGCTTGACCTGCTCCTCCTCGATCTGGAGAATCCTGTTCCAGTCCTCCTCTTTGCTGACCTCAATGTTTGTCTGACTCTCGCCCTTCTTGTACTCCAGTGTGCAGTCCAACAACAGAACACGAGGGTTCTCGATTCTCCGCCTCATCTTTGGGTGTGTGATGTCCTTGTTGACCATAACTCCGTCCAGAACCTCACTGTCTTCGATCTCGCCTCCGGGAATCTTCTCGATACGTGCGTAGCGCTTGATGTCGACCTCCTGCTTTCCAGAGCCGATGTCGAGCGAAACAGTTCGTACTGCCTTCAGTGCCAATCCACACATCAGGTCAGACCACCGCGAAACGAACTTTGTGCCGATGGAGGAGTTGATGATCTTGTACATCTGCTCGTCGTCGTTGACGTCGACTTCGACCGCGATCTCGCTGATGATTTCGAGGGCATCGGCAAGGGCCTTCTTGAAAGCTTGAATGATGACGACGGGGTGGATGTTGCGCTCAAGCTGGGGCAGAGCTTGTGCGAGGATTTCTCCCGCTGTCTGTTGTCAATGTACGCTCCCCAATTTCCCCGCACTATCTACGCACCTAATATGATGACGGTGGTTGTGCCGTCGCCGACCTCTTCATCTTGTGTCCTACTCAGCTCAATCATGCTCTTGGCTGCTGGGTGTGCGACTTCGATTTCTCGGAGAATAGCGTGGCCGTCGTTGGTCAGGACGATACCGCCCATTGGGTCGAGCAGCATCTTCAGCATAGCCTTGGGACCGAGACATGACCTGATGATGTCGGCGACCGTCTTGGCTGCTGTGATGTTGGAAAGTTGAGCTTTGCGGCCAAACTGGCGCTCCCCGCCCGGGGTCTGCGTGTCTGTTGATGTGTTAGTGGGCTGTCGCAGCTTCAGGTGAGCGACTGCACATACTCATGACAACCACTGGCGCCTGCATCTTGACGGTACAGGTCTATAAGCACGGTATACAAGAAGGAGGGGGTCGAAAACAGAGTTGCGTGGGGTATCTTGCGTCTGGTGCCTTGCAGCTCCTCCACTAACTTTTGCTACCAAAAACCGCGTCGCAGCGCCGCCACTATTCCGGCGCGGATTATCTGCGACCGGGCACCAGCCACAGAACAGCCACACCACCTGCCCTGCTGACTCACGCGCTCAGGCCGCGATCAACGGCAACTTCCATCGACGACCCCGGTCGGCCCTGCCTTACACAGAGCCTTGGCGCCTACCGAATTCGGCAGGCAGCCCTCGCGTGACGGCCAATACGCGCTAGACTTGCCCTGGAGATCACTCGCCGGGCTATTTTACCCTACATTCTGCCGCCCCTCACCGCGTCGCAGCCAGCCTCTCACGGGACTCGTGCGCAGCTTACAAGACCGCTCTGGTGCCCTCCAAACCTTCCTTCCTTCCTCTCACTTCTTTTGCGCCAAACTTCCGCACGCCGCCTTTCTTCTGTCTATAACTTGGACGCTCCCACACATCGCTCGGTTTTTCTTCATCTTACCACTCCCATCCATCACCATTACCCATCCCCATCATCCACTATCTCCATCGCGCCTCACCTTCTCGCCATCATCCACCTTCATCTTTGTCGCTCTTAGTGACTTTACTATATCGTCGCATGCTCACTGTCCTGTCTTGATCAAGACAGGTCTTTGTATCCTTCACGAACTCTATCATTGCTAAACTACTAAACATACAGTATGGGTCTTAACTACTACGCCTCGTCGCCAACTGTGGTCCTGCCGCCCCAACAACCGCAGGACTACTTCCCGCATCACCAAAGCGCCGCTGCACCAATGGGTAATTTCCGCCCCAAATACCCTACTCCGCCTTCGCTCAACTATCTAGCCGCCGTTTCCAATGCCACCGCTGGGCGCAAACGATCCATTGCCGACGTCGACGACCCGGAGGAGAACCTACCCGTCGGATCAATTGTCACTCAATCGCCTTCAAAGCCGAAGCCCGAGCCTGTGTACGGTCCAGGGATGACGCTCATCTACCCTGGAGAGCCTGGCTACACCATGGCAGCCGAGTCGCAATCGGGCACCTGGTACGAAGAGAAGGTCGAGAAAGAAGAGAAGGCTGAAGCTGAAGCTCGCCCTATCGCCGTATCGCGCAAGTCAGTCCGCATGAGCCCAACTGCCAATGTCGAAATCACTCCCCTCAACGAGATGGATGCCCAGAAGACCGAAGAGCTCATCGACGACAAAGGCAACACCGTCAACACGCTCATCGCATCTCTCGGAGTAGGCTGGAAGAACGTCATGACCAACCCCAACCTACGCGACGCGGCACGCGCATACTCCCGCGTGATTGAGCGTCATTTCGACTTCACCGACGTCCTGGTGATGCTGGAAAAGGAATCACTCAACGCGTATCTCGTACGCGCTAAGCAACACGGTGTCCAGGGCTACTGGTTATTCTCGGACAACCTTCAGTGGTGCCAGCTCGTTGGCTGGTCACTAGAGCGAACTGTTAGCAACCTCATGTTCGGCTCAACTCCTCGTGTTGAGGGTGAGCGCATCAATGCTCGCCAGTTGACGCCGTCGCCTGCCTCTACACCCATTTCCCAGCCAGTCGCCGACGCCCCTATGGCGACTGCAGACACCGACGCGATGGAGATGTGACGTGTCTCAACCCATCTCTTCTCTTCCTTCCTGTTTCCTTACCCCACGAACGGCAACAAAACACGCCTCAGTTATCATTTCGGCTGCATTGATTTACGGTTTTCGATGTGGGTTTCTTCTTCGGCGAATCGGCGTTGACGGTGGAATCGGATGGCTCACCGGAAGTGACTCTATCTGACATGTACTATATTATTATGATGCTTATGCTGCGATGCTTGATCAAAGACACTCGATCGCATCTGCTAGTACGTGCCGCTAAACTTAACAGGCAAGAACTCAATGAAACTACGATTATCATTTACATCACCTCCACTTCCTGAGAACTGCTGTTGTTGAACGCGCATCCGGTGACTTCCAAGTGGCCACGGACCGGTCCTCGGGTCTTCCTTCACGCGCAAGCTGACGTGCTTTACCGACGCCCCGAGGCACGCAATTTCCTTGACTCTATTTTCAGTAGATCCTCGCTCGTTAAACACGATCAAACATGCTGCCGCGGTGACGAAAGAGCATTGAGAAGGCTCTGCCCCGAGCTCTGCCGCACTACCGCTCCTCAGCAACGCGAACATGTCGCGCGCACGACGCGGCGTCGCGTTTCCCGGACAGCACCTTTTCCCAATCTGTTCATGACTCGTGCAGACGGTGCGCCTGAGTCGAGACCGCTGTTCTCTCAACAGCTTCGCTGATGGTTATTTTCGCTGTCACACACCCTGATGGTGCTGTTTCACAGCCCTGGAGGCTGCTGGGCGCGCTGCTTCTCGGGAAGACAGCTTCCGTTAGTTCCGAGGTGCGCGACACCCGACGAAAACGAACCTTCCTCGCACCCGCGTCGCGTCGCGTCTACGTCTTGGATACGATGACTATTATCATTGATCTCACGCTCCTACACGCGTGCGGTAGTCGTCCATTCACCGTAGTCCATCCACACGGATTGGCGACATAGAACCGAATTAGCATACGGACTTTGGCCCCCAATGTGGCGCGGGGCGCCTTGCAGGAGGCTCAGAGTAAGCCTCAACCCATCAGGATGTGCGGCCGGTATACTTGGCAAAAACCAGGCGGCACTGCTGATAGGTGGGCTCGTACCAGCGAGGGTGCGATATCTCGCATGGTACTACGCGCTTCTTTGATCTCTTTTGCGTTGTCTACTTGGACCGGATCCAACATTTTTTGCTCATGGGCTTCGCAATGCCTGATTCAATTTGGCGGTTATTGCCTTCTAGGATACGCTCAACGATACACCCCGAATGGAGATCCGATAGCAATCTCGAGATGCAGGTACCGCTTACAGCCCAAACTGACCGGAATGGAAAACCTCTCGGGAGCTTGCAGCTACCACAAAGCATTCGCGCGAAGGCAGCATCGATACTTGGGTTGCGCAAGCGTGCAGTGGAGAAACATCTAGGGTCTCGCTTCACTGGATGGCGGTTTGGCGTGCTCAACTTCGCGATTTTAGCTTCAGTGGTCTTTCTCATTAACTTCGTGGCCATGGCATCAGGTCTGGCTGCCACCTCTGGCGCCAAGGGTGTCTTCTTCGATGGCGATTGCGATCACGTTAAAAGGCTGAACACCGGGCTCCATCTTGGCATCAACATCTTGAGTACGATCCTGTTGGCTGGGAGCAACTATACAATGCAGTGTTTATCTGCACCAACGCGAAGCGAAGTCGATTCTGCCCACAGTCGCAAGCCTAGTGTATACCTCGATGTGGGTGTACCTGGCATACGCAATCTCGGACATATCAGCCGGCGTAGAGCTGTGCTGTGGGCAGCATTGGGACTATCATCCTTGCCGTTGCATCTTTTGTAAGGCATTGACTGATCCTAGCGTTTTAGTAACTTACATCTATCAGTTACAATTCTGCGGTGTTTGGTTCGATATCGTCCAACAGTTACTGGGTGTTCTCCGTCGGGCGAGCATTTCTGGACGGAGAAAATTGCACGAATTGCACAGAACAATCCCCGCAGCTCCGTACCAGTTTCATAGGTGGACCAAATAGGCAGACCAGGCTCATTGCCAGTCCTGGCGAAATCCCATCCGTACTTGAATCCCTCTGGGAGAAAGCACGCGCGGGCAACCTTGAAAAGCTTGAGCCCAACAGATGCATTGACGAATATGCCACTAGCATACAATCCAACCATCGAAATCTGCTTTTAGTATCCGACGATAGCTTCTTTCCTCCATCAACGGAGAACAAGTTTATTAATGGCTCACACATTTATTGGGCTGCGGGTTTTGATGCATACACTGCGTCGGATTCCGGGTTTGCTAGCAATGCATACCACTGGATGTGTTCCGCGTCGCACGACCTACTCAATCCATGTTCAGTCAGGGTACAGGATGTCAAGAAGCAAGAATCTTGGCAGGTTGGATGGCTTTGCGACGATGAAGGGCTTTGCGACCTGTCACGTACGCCAGTGGAGTACTGTCTAAGTGAGCCGGCTCAAACCCACTGCAAGCTCCACTTCGAGCCTACTATTACGACTGTCATTACGATTCTCAATCTCTGTGAGTTCAGATCTCGTTCTCTACGCCTACACAGACGCAGCAGCGTAAAGGACACGCTCGTCGATCAACCATTCGAGATCGAATCAACTCTAACTCTTTTACAGTCAAAGCATGTCTAATGTTCTATGTTGTATTTTTTGTGCACGACGAGCCGCTTATGACAATGGGTGACGCCGTCGTCTCGTTCCTGGAAAACGAAGACGTTACAACGAAGGACATGTGTTTGTCTACACTAGCAGACTTTCGACACCACAGAGGATATCAGGCAGGACCAAGACAATGGCGGGACGGGCGTTATCACTGGAAAGATGTGACCAGCATCACCCGCAGAATTGTTGTTGTAGCTGTGTAGGTCACGCCGCTAAACCAAATATATCGTTGGTAGTTTGCTTACATTACCGATCAGGTTTTTACTTGCCCTAGCTATAGTCGGTTTCCTACTTAAGATGGGAATCGAATATCTACCCACGGGGGCTACCTTTGATCAATTTTCATTTGGTATGTATGATTTGTTTATCATGTGAAATTAAGCACGGTGCTGATTGCCTTTAGGCGCTGTGGATCCTCGTACAGCCATCAGTTATATGCCACCGGATTTGATTACCAACGTTGTCATCGCCAACACGCCCCAACTAGCTCTGTCGTTTCTGTACTTCAGCTATAATGCTCTCTTTACCGCCATGCTAATGGGCTACGAATGGGTGTCTTATTCTGGCAAGCGCAAAGGCCTCCGTGTAACTCATCAACCTGCTGGTGCTCAACGGTCGACATACTTCCTCCAGCTACCCTATCGTTTCGGTATACCTCTCATGGTGCTGAGTGGCACATTACACTGGCTGGTTTCGCAAAGCATCTTCCTGATCGCCATCGACTTTTACGACCCATTTGGGAAACCGGGCACTGGGTCTGATGCATCGAACATGCCATTCGATTACAAGACTCTGGGCTACTCGCCGCCGGCAATCATATCAGTGATAGTGTTGGGTGGACTAATGGTCATCAGCATAGTTGCTTTCGGGTACACACCATACAAGCGTGGAATGCCAATTGTGGGCAGCTGCAGTATGGCCATCAGCGCAGCTTGTCATCCGACAGAACAGGTTGGCAGTGGTGAGAACATTGCCGAGAAGAAACTGCAGTGGGGCGTTGTCAGTACTGGTGCTGATGGACTGGGTCATTGCGCTTTCTCGGCAGAAGATGTGGGAGCAGTCGTTGAAGGCAAGATGTACGGTGGGCATTCGCTATAGATGACAAGGACAATGCTTTCCCAATTGTGAGGCATGTCCATGGCCACGGGAATTTGCGCTATATTGCTTGCGTACCCAACCAATGCAGTCATACGTAAGAAGTAGCATCTTATGACCAGAGCAGGGCGCTGGCAAAAACGGAAGGAATAAGCCTGAAAGAAAATGTTTACGTAGGACGAGCCATGCCCATTGGCTGATCCTTCCCCCGCACAGCAAAGAACATTCGTGCCGGCATAGCCACGCCTCGAACTGCGCCTATCAAGTTATCTCACCAAGGCGACCCAGGTAACTCGCCTCCAACCGTGTACAAGGTGCTGTGCAGGGGTAATCCGACACGTGCAGCGGTCTGGCAATATACGTTTGCCACCACGGCTGCCTGGCGATGATGTCGACAGAGAACAACAATGCCAAATCTATAGAAGGGCTTGATGCGCAGCTCGCCTTTACATCACGGCTACACATGAGAGCTTCGCAGTAAATCAAAAAGAAGTCAACATGCCATTATGCAGTCTTTGCCAGTCGTTGGACGTCCTCGACATCCCTAAGCTACCACCCGATTACAAAATCCATACTGTTACTCGACGCGACTACCCATGCCTAGTCCAAATCAGTAGCCAACCTCTCAGGGACCTCTGGAAGAACAAGCAAGACTGTCCACAGGATCAAGAACCTGTCGGACTACCCTTCCACCAATCTATCGAAGACCTCGAAAACGCCGCTGCCGATGGCTGCGCAATTTGCAAGACCGTACAGCGCGATGTCGCGCAGTTTCAGTCCGACTTCAGTGGGGCGAAGAAGGAACCTGGGATTCGTGCCGAGCGTGGCGGAGGACCGGATTGGAAGATGTGTCTGGTTAGGGGTGTGAATGATACCGGAGGTTTCATGGTGGTGTCGGTCGATGCAAAGTATTGGTTTCAGGTTTGGGTGGTTGCTGCTGTGGGATTATGTGCTGATTGTAAGTATCAAAGAGACTCGGTGAAGCTATTTCTTCGACTAACGGCGTTGTAGACGGCGATCCGTTGGCCGCTGTCGTTCGAGGTCGCAAGACACTCTCCTCATCGCCGCATACACTTGCACATGCCCTGAACTGGGTACGCGATTGCGACAAACAACGGACGGATCGGCGCTGTCATGTCGATGCGGCACCTCTTCCATCTCGTGTCTTGGATATACGAGACTCGACGCCGCACAAAGTAGCTCTTTATGAGCCCATCGAAGGAGAACTGGGACGATATGCAGCACTGAGTTATGTCTGGGGCGAGTCAAGCCCGTTCGCAACCACACGTGCCAATATCGAAGCCAACAAGAGGGGTATCGATACCGACCAGCTCCCAAAGACGTTTCAGGACGCCATCCTCATAGCCAGAGAAATGGGAATCGGCTATCTATGGATCGACTCCCTCTGGTAAGCCAACCCTCCCCATTCTACTCAGAACACCAAACACTAACAACCCCAGTATCTGTCAAGACGACTCAGAAGACTGGTCGCGCGAAACATCGCGCATGGCCTCTGTCTACTCAAACGCCTACATCATGCTCTCCGCAACCGGTTCTCCCTCCTCTACATCCGGTCTCTCCATTTTCTCTCCCAGCCGCCCAGTACCCAACTACTCCCCATTCGAATACACGACCACAGACGGTATCAAAGGAATCCTCCACGCCTTCTCCTCCTCCCGCGAAACAGCCGCAAAGCCCTCCTGGGCCGGAAACAACGCACTGCTAAAGACCGAACCACTCAGCCAACGCGGCTGGGCGTTGCAAGAACGCTGGCTCGCACCGCGTGTGCTACATTTCGGCACGGAGCAGATATTCTTCGAGTGCTACTGTTCTTTCCTGAGCGAGCACGGTTTCTACCTACCAGGGCGAGTGGATACTCTTTTCCCAACTACTTCCCGTACATTCCCATCGCACACCCACCCTTCCTCCCCGGATAAACCTATCCCAGATAAAGACAACCCCACGCTACATTGGCACGCAGTCCTCGACGCCTACTCCCGCCGTTCTCTAACCAAACCTTCGGATAAACTGCCCGCTCTCTCTGGCCTCGCACGCACTTACGCTTCCTTGCTCCCTTCCCCAACCACCTACCTCGCGGGACACTGGTCCGGAACCCTACTTCATGACCTAATCTGGCAAGCCTGCGGCACGACAACCTCACCAGCAATATACCGCGCACCAAGTTGGTCCTGGGCCGCCATCGACGGGCCGTTCGGCCTCTTCAGCCCGAATTCGGGTGTGGGGTGGGACAAAGGGGAATGGACGGCTTTAGCCAAAATCCACGCTACGAGTATTACATTGAAGAGCGCCCAGAATCCTTTCGGTGAGGTAACAGACGGGTATATAGACATCAGCGCGCCGCTGGAACGCTTGTACCCTGCGGCCGAACAGAGAGAAGGAGAGGGCGATGTTTTTCCGAATCGGCAGAAGGGTGCTGTGGCTCAGACGAAGGAGAAGTTGGAGGGGGACATGGAGCCTAAGTATACTTGTTTTGACACGCAGACTCACACGGAGAGGGCGAGGGGGAGGGAGTTGTGGGCTGCGGTACTGTGGAAGCATGTAAGGCCGGAGGAGATGGAGAGAGATGTGAGTTATCATGCGATTATTGTGGCGAGAGTGGAGGGCAGGGAGGGGAATGTGTATGAGAGGTTGGGTAAAGTTCCTTTTTCAGCAAAGGATTTGGGGGTGTGTGAGTGGACTATCTGGTGCAATCGGTTTTAACTAGGGCTTTTCCTTGCCCGCCGCGCAAATACGATGAGATTTGGCCATGCCTCTCTGATCTCTTCGTCCCACCATTGCTTTGGACAGACACGTTCCAGCATCTCCAGATCGCCTTCTTCGTAGGGTGTGATGTACTCTTCCCAATCGTCTTCTTTGATCTCATCACACGTCCTGGCTAAGTTGTACAGTGTAAGCATTGCGATTAATCTGCCAATGCGCTCAAGAACGTGTTCTTCTGCGGTTTTAGGCTGGATACTTGACGTTGCTTGGTCGTAAACATCGCCGTCTTCTTCCAAGGGCCTGATTATGATTTCTCGAGCTAAGGATATCTCAGTCAACGTGGGCGAGCTGTTCACGGCGTAAGGGAGGATGGCTGGGGAGGGTGCTGTGTCATCGATGCATGCTGCTTGCTCTTCGGGAGTGGAGAAGGCGTGGTAGCGTGGAGTTCTGTGTTCTGGGGCTAGGCGGTCTCGCGGATTGCGCATGGTGCGTCGAGAGGAGGCAGACATGGAAGCAAGATGTTTGGTACTTCTGGCAGTAGCAAGAAACAGAAGTAGAGGGTGAACGAGTGACAGGCAAAGCGAAAGAAAGATGCGATACTATGATGGTGCTGTTTGAGTATTCAATTATGTGCGATCGCTGTTTGTATGCGCTTCACTATATTTTACTTGACATAGGCCCATCGTCCGTGGCCAGAATGTCGCATAGCCAGTCCGCTGCTTTGTCTGCCATAGGTTTAGGAAAAGCGTGTTCTACACCCTCGAATAACACGTCCTCGAAGGTGATGTCAAGACTTGGGTCTTCTGCTAGTACCTGTTTGAAGATCTTGTAGAATGGCTCACCAGCGGAGTAGGGAACAAGCTTATCTGCCTGTCCACTGAGGTTCAGGATGCGCTTGCCTTGAAGTCTCTCCTTCATCAGAGCCTTCATTCTAGATAGTTGCTCTTGATCGGGTTGGGTGTCGTTTCCTAGCGGATTGAACATGCCCGGTAGCAGTAGACCGGCAGGATCATACTGGGCGATGGCGTCCTGCAGCGCTTGTGGGAAGTCGGGGGATCCGAGGAATGCGCTTCCGGGTGGTGTTGTTTCCGTGTATGTCTTTCTCTTGGATAGGCGCGCGCGGTCAGTCAGCAAGCGCGTATAGTCTGGACAGCCGATGCCAACTACGCCAGCGGTGATGCGGGGGTCGCCTAGCAAGCAGTGCCATGTCGCGTGTCCACCCAACGAGATTCCAAGGGCAAAGTGTTGTTCGATCTTGGGACTATCTTTGGCGGTGAAAATGTAGGATTCGAGATGGTTGATGAGCTGGGATGTGTCGGTCGCGGTGCCGTGGAAGCATCCAAACATGTCTTGGGCATGCGTCTCGTTTCCTTCCCTCCAGGCTTGATTGTGCAAATCGTCCACCTTGCGCGATCCGTGATTACGTTGGTCGAATGCAGCGGCGATTAAACCTTTGGGGTTCTTGCCGGCCCGGCCGTCTTGTATGCGCTTGTTCCAGGTGGAGATGACCCGTCTGGCTATGGGAGCCATGGTCTCTTTCGTCTGCAATCGCGGATTGAGGAGCCATAGGCAGGCGACTGACGATGGGGAAGGAGGGAGTTGGTCGAGGCCATGGACATCGACGAGGATGCCGGCGATTGTGATGGTGCGGGAGGAGACGGGGAGGTCGGACGAGTTCTGCGTCCCGTGGAGGGGATTCGTAGTCGCTGCCATGTTGGCTGGTGGGGCCTAAGAATAGTGAGGATAGCGATATAGGGTTGAGCGATTAGCAAGACCAGAGGAAGAATATGGAGTTATTCGTCTGGTGTATCTCGGAACATGGGCATGCGGAGGGGCAGGGGATCGCCGACCGAGGCTGCCGTCGACGGCAGAACTACATCATCGTGTGACAAGCTTCACAGGCGGCACTGGGCGATGTGCTGGCCATGGCATGTGGATGCATGGCGCGATTATACAGCGGTACAAGGCGTCTTTCCATTGTGCACATGTGTGGTGAGTTCGGTATGCTTGTACTGATTGGGAGTACAGTGCGGGGTGCAGCCACGCCGCAGAGAGACGGCGGCGACATCGTTGAGTCTCTCTCGCAGAGAAGCGGGCGTTGCATGTGAATGCGATATTACCAATATGGAGAAGGCGATATTTGACGCGTTCTGCAGGGCGCTGCATCGTACATGTCTGTGGTGTGGAGCCTCGACGCGGTGCAGGCGGTCAGCCAGGCGGAGAGGGCCCCTGACGCCAAAACCTTGTTGTATTAGCGCAACCAGACAGTTCACGCCCGGGGAAAGCACCTGGGAGATTACTCGAACCGCGCAGGGACCCAGCACGACGTACACTGATCACCTGCGCCGCGTGTCTCTTTCTCTCGCCTGTTCATGACCTAGACCTGTCACTGCGAGTATACTGCCACTCCACCTGGGGTAGCATTCCATCAATCCATCGTGACGAGTGACGGCAGCAGCACGTTTCCTGGCTACCATGGCTGTATAACGCCCTAGAAGCCGAGCAACCACACCCCCACGCGACCTCGCCGTGAGAAGACACCCACCGACACTTTCTGCCTCTTCTGTGTCGTTACGTTACCATGGTTGGCTCCAGCAAGACCGGGGGCTCGCCCACGACGCGCAGCCCTCGCTCGCGATCGCCTGCAGTATCAGGAAGGACAGACGAGTCCGGCCGACTGCTATCGCCGCTTAGCCTGGGACAGCCCAGGAATGAGACACAAGACATACACAACCCCTCGCCCTCAGACGGCGCCCCCAAGATCATGCGCTCTGCCCCAACCGGCTCGCCCATCTCCAGCAAGGAAGCCGGCGAGTTCCCTTTCCATGCCCCAGCGAACGCCAACGGGGGTAGCATCCCCGTGCCTGTCGAAGCCGCTGAAGTCCCTCTCCGCGCCCCGAAGCCCTCCTCGCACATGTCCAATGGGTCCACCAGCTCCTACTACCCGCCCTTTGCGCCCATGTCCCGACACCCTACCGAGGGCGAACTCTCCGACGCACCCCGAGAACGCAAGAGCGTCCAGTTCGCTCGCTCCGCTACATTCACATCCGATCCGCCCGCCGCCAACTCGCGCCAGCAGTCATGGGAGGTCGAAGACGGCGAAGGAAAGGGCAAGGAGCGGAGTGGACAGAGCTCGTCGCTCATGGGCAAGCTGAGGGCACTGGCAGCACCGATGCAGGGACACGGCAGGAGCCTGAGTGCATTGGGAGGAACCTCAGGCCATGAAGGCTCACCCCACGGCCAGCTTTCGCCCACCTCCGAGCACGAAGAGCCGCGATTCGAGGGACACGACAGCGAGGCCGATGCTGATGGCGAGTCTAGCGCTGGCGAGGGTGCTTCAAGAAGACCGAGACAAAAGAGGCGGAAGAGCAGCCGCCGTTGGTTCGACGGCGAGGGCGAAGGCACCCAAACGGCCCCTACCACGCCCAAGCAGACAACAGGCGGCTTCTTCTCGCGTGACTCACCCACCATGACGCCTACCTCGACCCGCCCGGGCTTCCTACGCCGCTCCACCATGGATGACATACCCGAGAACGAGCGTCAGGGTTACTCAGAAGACGAGGGTCGCTCGCGCATCGCAAAAGAGAGCGCATGGACACGCGGACTACACAGTGCGAGGGGACTTTCGTATGGAGGTTTGCGAAGACACGACCCCAACGGCGAGGAAGAGGGTCACCAGAATCGTCCTACCGGCAACTTGCGAAGCTTGACTACTTTCAGAGGTGCTGCGGGAGACACACAGCCCTCACCATGGCGGATGCGTAGCGAGCGGACGTCAAGTTTGAGCGCGCAGAAGTGGAAGTCCATCAAGAACAGCCTCAAGCTTCTCGGCAACCGACAAAAGGCCGAACGCCAAATCGACCACGCAAAGTCGGCTGAGCTGATGGCTGAGTTGCTTGCTGGTGCACCCGCAGCCTTGTTCTTTGCCAGTATGTTCCAACGCGATGAGCACGGCCACAGGCGTATTCCCGTCCTTCTCGAGCAGCTCAAGGTTACCATCACCGACACAGACCGCCCCGCAAAGAAGGAGGGCGATCGGCATACTGCTTTGCGCATAGAGCTGGAATACGGCAGTGGCCTGACCAGGATGAAGTGGGTTGTTTACAGGAGTGTTGCCGATTTTGCCAACCTGCATCTCAAGTTCAAAGTTCAGGAGAAGCAGGACGCTTTCCGTAGTCGCCCGGCTAACCGTATGCGAGAACTAAAAGACAAGACATCCAAAGACGGCGAGGCTGAGAAGGAAGAAGAGAAAGAAGATCCACGCACAAAACTCCCACGCTTCCCCAGAAGTGTGTTACCCTATCTCCGAGGTCTTCGAGGCTACGGCATCCTTGATGACGAAGGTGAGGAAGAGGAGGAAGAGGCTGCAGCAGGAGCCAGCGGACCAGACGGCGATGCAAGCGCTACCGAACGCCCCAACAGACCCAAGCGAGGCAAGTCCTCATTCTTAGGTCGCAGACAGTCAAGCGTAAGTGGTTCTCAAGCTCAGGGTGCTGTCGGTGCCCTTGTAGCGAGACAGGGCAGTTTTGCCGGTGCCGCCGGTCAGCCCCTACAGGCGAAACAGAATCATCATGAACGCCAACGGAAGAAGTTGGAACAATATCTGCGAGGTCTCATGACCTACCTCATCTTCCGTCCCGACAGCAACCGCCTGTGCAAGTTCCTCGAGCTGTCTGCTCTGGGTGTCCGCCTAGCGGCTGAGGGCGGCTACCATGGCAAGGAAGGCTACATGATGATCAAATCCTCCAAAGGTGTTGACAACAGGAAAGGCTGGACCAAGCTCGCCATGATGAATCGACACTGGCCCAAGTGGTTCCTAGTGAGACACAGCTATGTTGTTTGTGTAGACTCGCCTGAGGAGATGAACGTCTACGATGTCTTCTTGGTCGATGCCGACTTCCATCTAGATACCAAATCTGCCAGGATACGAGATAAGAAAGCCAGAGATCTTGCAAGCGAAGCAAAAGCGTCTGCGACAGGTCATCACCAGCTCAAGCTCGTTAACGCGGAACGCAAGATGAAGCTCCTTGCTCGTAACGAGCGGATGCTGCATCAGTTCGAGGAGTCCATCAACTTCATGTCACAAAACACATTATGGTCACAACGCCAGCGGTTCGACAGTTTCGCTCCAGTGCGCAAGAAGATCTATGCTCAATGGCTTGTAGACGGTCGCGACTACATGTGGAATGTGTCACGAGCTATCAGCATGGCGCGCGACGTCATCTACATTCACGACTGGTGGCTCAGCCCAGAGCTTTACTTGCGTCGCCCAGCTGCTATCAGTCAGAAGTGGAGACTTGATAGACTCCTCCAACGCAAAGCACAGGAAGGTGTCAAGATCTTTGTGATTATGTATCGCAACATCGGTGCTGCTATTCCTATCGACTCTGAGTACTCCAAGTTCTCTCTGCTTGATCTACATCCAAACATCTTCGTCCAACGATCGCCAAACCAAATCCGCCAGAACACATTCTTCTGGTCTCATCACGAGAAGATTTGCGTAATCGACCACACTGTAGCCTTCTGTGGAGGGGTTGACCTGTGCTTTGGTCGTTGGGATACACCACAACACGTCGTCGTTGACGACAAGCCCACGGGTTTCGAGCTCGACGATACACCCAAGGACGCTGACCACTGCCAGCTATGGCCGGGTAAGGACTACTCCAACCCCCGTGTACAAGACTTCTTCGCTCTCGACAAACCCTACGAGGAGATGTACGACCGCTCGAGAGTCCCGAGGATGCCGTGGCACGACGTTGGAATGCAGATCGTGGGTCAACCCGCTCGTGATTTGACCCGTCATTTCGTACAACGATGGAACTACCTCCTTCGCCAGCGCAAGCCTTCGCGACCGACACCCTTCCTCCTTCCTCCGCCTGACTTCAACCCCGCGGATATAGAAGCTCTTGGGCTCGATGGAACTTGCGAAGTACAAATCCTACGTTCCGCCTGTGCCTGGTCTCTGGGTACACCTAACAAGGTCGAGCACAGTATCATGAACGCGTACGTGCAGATGATTGCCACATCCGAGCATTTCGTGTACATCGAGAACCAGTTCTACATCAGTAGCGGCGAAGTGCTGGGAACGAAGATTGAGAACAAGATCAACGATGCGATTGTCGACCGCATCAAGCGTGCTCATGCCAACGATGAAGACTGGAGAGCGTGCATCATGCTTCCGTTGATGCCTGGATACCAGAACACCGTCGATGAACAAGAAGGCAGCAGTGTCCGTCTTATCATGACATGTCAGTACCACAGTATCTGCCGTGGTGAAGGCTCCATTTTCGGACGCTTGCGAGCTGCTGGCATCGAGCCCGAAGATTACATCAACTTCTACGCACTCCGATCGTGGGGCGAGGTTGGCCCGAACAAGATGTTGGTTACAGAGCAGTTGTACATCCATGCGAAGATCATGGTAGTCGATGACCGAGTTGCCATCATCGGGTCTGCAAACATCAACGAGCGTTCTATGTTGGGATCACGAGACTCTGAAATCGCTGCCGTCATCCGCGATACTGAGCTACTTGATTCGTATATGGGTGGCCAGCCATACAAGGTGGGCAAGTTCCCGCATACGTTGCGTATGCGTCTCATGCGGGAGCATTTGGGTGTCGATGTTGACTGCATCTCTGAGGAGGAGATGCTCAGCCAGATGTCTGATGATGCCGATAGCGTCGGTTTCCAGACAGAGTCCTCTGGTCCAGGATCCCCAACGGCTCAGCGCGCGACTGAACAGAAGCTGGAAGAGAACAACTACAAGATGCAGGATGAGCTCATCCAGAAGGCAGAAAAGCTACACAGCTTCAACCATGACTTCGACTGGGCGCAGGACCAAAATCCTCATCTGCAAAGTACCAAGAAGCCATCGGCGGATTCTCGTGTGCAACACAACACGGCGCATACCAAAGATGTTCGTGGCGAGGGCGCTGACCATATGCTGGAAGCCGAGCAGTTACGACCGATCATAACGCAAGCCAGAGATTCCTACATCGACGAGCATGGTCATGAGAAACTCGTTACAGATGTCGCTGCTGAAGGTGCTGCAGCTATACCCAGGAAGAGTGCGACACTCAAGACGCGCAAGCGCAGTGGTACCACCGGCACCAGGGCCAGCAACGTCAGCGCACAGACTGACGGAACTGGCTATGCTGGCCTCCCACCTCCTAAGCTACCTCGCATGGACACGTTCAAGCTAGGTTTGACACAGCTCAGCCAGTTGCCTGCGTTGCCAATTTCGGATGACACAGACATCGGCGGCCCGCCTGCTCTACAACGTACCTTTAGCCAGGGTTCCTCTTCCGTCATCAACCCTCTTCTCTCGGAAATGCGTCGACCTGTCGTGACCGAGGACTGCATGCGCGATCCTATCAACGACACCTTCTTCCTCGACACTTGGCATCAAATTGCAGAGAACAACACCAAGCTCTTCCGCCAGGTCTTCCGCTGCATGCCAGACAACGAAGTCCGAACATGGAAGGAGTACCAAGAGTACGCTGCATTCTCGGAACGTTTCACCAAATCTCAGGGTGGAGACAAGAGCCAAATGCACAAGCAGCAGGATGCCCCGGGTACGACTGGACCGCCCGGCACTGGTCTCACGAGCAAGTTCACCTCGACTGCTGGTACTGTCGGCAAGCAGGTTGGCGCTCTAGGCGAGAAGCTCACGGAGAAGATGACGAACAACTCGGACAGAGTCAACGGCGAGAACGTCCATGGAACAACCCACCACTCGAGCATGGGCGGTGTAGAGCAGTGGGCCGATGACCAAGAGAAGCGCGTACAATCCCAAAGCCCGCCTCCCCCCGCCACACGCGGCCTACACCTCGACACCGCATCCGGCACAACGCTGAACGAGAAGCTAGCTCCCGAGCCCGCCGACGACGCGGTAGTCTCTCCCATGAATCCCGCTCCCCCAGAGAAGACCTTCACCTTCCCGGCTCCACCACCCGTCCCCAACGACAGCGCACACACCGACTTCGCATCGCACTCGCAAAACCCACCTCCAACATCCCACTCCAACCGCGAACGCTCCCAACGCGTCACCATCTCTGAACCGCCCATTCACCCTAACGCACTCCCTCAGAACCAGAACTCAAACAACACGCCCAACCGCTCGAATACCAAGCGCTCCCGTCGCCGCGCTACGACGAAATCGTCGAACAGGCAGTTCAACGCTACAGACGCGGATATCATGCTAGACAAAGAGGATGCGAAGCGGCTGTTGGAATTGGTCCAGGGCCACATCGTGCTTTGGCCATATGATTGGTTGGAGAGTGAGGAGAGAGGTGGCGGATGGCTATATAATGTCGATCAGATTGCGCCGTTGGAGATTTAGTAAGTCGACTCTCTTTCTCTACTTTTGTATCATCTCGTACTAACAGTTCCTGCAGTAATTAATCTCCAGACGCATTCGCTGTAGGGCTTGCGCAGGAGCGGCATGAATGCCGTGATATACCATGGCGAGTCGTAGAGCTTGCATATTGGAGTTTAGGATCATGGCCCCCCACTTTTGTCGCGTCTCTCTCGTTGTCGTTCCATTTGTCGAGTTTTCTGTCATTGTGGGTGCATTGTTGGAGTGGATAGTGGGTGGGAAAGAAAGCATTACACTGGCGTTTTCCGCGTCGCGCATTGGCACTTCGCTATTGCATATACAAGTCTTTCTCTCGTCGTTGGTACATTTCTCCTTTTGTTGCTGTGTTTCCTTTCCTTTACCATTACATCCGTGTAGAAGTGGGCTGTTCTGTATATTGTTTCGTTTGACTTGGTTAGTAATATAGTAATACATATAGACACGGTTCCACCTCATCGATGGAAAATTTTGACATTTCTGCAGCCTATATCAAGAAAGCAATACGCAAAGGGTGGTGATCCAAGGTGTTCAGCCTTTCCCTTGATGGAGGTGGTTCCAAGATTGTATCCTGATCAACTTTGCCACATTCCTAGTTGTCCTTGTCTTCTAGCTGAGTGCCAGGGTAGCCTTTTTTGTTTTCCAAGTACATGCGAGAGCGCTGTACACTATCCAATCCACCCCTCACTCATCTCAAGCCAACGGCAAAACGAGCATCTCATCATCCAACTACCCAAAGCCCTCCAATCCCTTCAACTACTCCGCTACGCCCACTTGACGCTCAGGTGAATCAACCGCCACTCCTGAGCTTCCTCTTGGACTTGACTTTATCCTCCTCCTCCATCGCAGACGCTTGGCGCGTTTTACGTACAGAAGGCTGCTTAGCCGGTTCGGGAGCCGCTTTGGACTTTGCTGGCGCTTTAGCCTTTGGGGCAGGCTTAGCTAAAGCCGTTGCAGGTGCGGTAGGGACGTTGGCAGCTTTCTTCGCCTGTCGTGTCAGTGGAGGCGTAAATCCAAACTTGTTCTTGGCGTGTGCTGCGGCTTTGGGGGCGACACTGCGAGCTGGGGTGGTGGTGGCGCGAGATCTGGTTTGGCGGATGGTATGGCCACCGAGTATCAGAGGCTTGTTCTTGAGCTTGAGTTTCTTGGGTGGTGGGGGTGTGTCGCTGTCTACTTCATCGCTGTCGTCGGCAGACGCTTCGATGGTTTCTCGTGCATCTTCGAAATCATCGTCGTCGTCTTCAACTCCATGTTTAGAGTCGCCATTCTCCTCATGAGCATCATAGTCGCCTTCAGGCTCGTCCAAGATGCTCTGCTTGGTGGTCCTTCTAAGGGGCCTCGGGGGTGTGGGCACGTCAATTTCTGGGCTAGGTCCTTTAGTATCAATCTTCGGTTCTGGGAATAGTACCGATAGCTCATACTCTTCCTGTTCCTTAGACTTGGTCTTTTCCCCCTCCTTGGGCGAAGTATTGCGTTTCCTTGTAGTACGAGTAGCGGGAGTTTTCTTCGCCCGTGCGGCTTTCGCTTGAGCAACCCTAGGCTTTGATGCAGGACGTTTGGGTGCCTTGGTAGTGGTATCAGGGACGCCCAAGTCTCCAAAGAGATCAACAGAGTCAGCGTCACTGACTGGAACAGTTTGCGAGTCTGCAGGAGCTGACATGCTCGACATGAGTTCGCCTAAAGCATTCGACTTGTGGGATGGGAATAGCTTGCGTGATATAGGCTTTGCTTTTGACGGGTGCTCTCTGTACCGGATCTGAGTGAGGTCCCGAAGTTCACGTTTCGAAACTGACGGTCTCGACATTGGAGTACCTAGGACGATCTCAGCGGCGGGTGTTTGCTTGCTAGGTGTGACCGGCTTCTCGACGTCGCTGTAATGCTCTTCCATGTCGGCACTGTCGCCTCCCTGGTCAGATTGAGCACTGATGATGGCATCATCAGACTCAACTACGATGGGTGCTTTTGCAGATGACCCGGTATGTTTCAATGCACCTCCACGTTTGGTCGATAGAGTCGGTTCTTCGTTGGTAGTATCCACATGAGTAGCCTCTTTCTTCGACTTGGCCGCAGCACGTCTGCCCTTAGCTGGCGGTGGCGTAGATTCATCTTCCTGGTCTGTGGGAGCTTTGCTAGGCTTCTTGTTTGCAGCTTTGATAGCACGTGCCTTAGCAAGGGAAGCGACATTAGCCTTCCGCTTTTTCTTGGCTGGACCGTCTGAATCACTTTCGGAAACGCTCGCTGTGTTCTTGGACGCTTTCGATCGCTTGTGGGAGTGAACGGACTGAGTTTCTGGTTCAGATACTGCCCTTGTAGAACCAAGGTCTTCGGTAGTATCCAGATTGTGGGCAAACGATACATCTTCCATCCGATCTTCTTCGGGAATCGCTACCACACTGGTACTGTCATCGACGTCGGGTACAGTGGTTTTGTCGTCAACCGTAGTACTCGGCTCTACGTCGGATGGGGCCGGAGGCTTGGACAGCCTATGAGCCAGTTTCGCCGCAGTTGCGTTCTCTTCATCCGCGGGCACTTCAGCAGGCGAGATTTGTGATTTCTCATGACGTACTTCGTCTTCAGATGGGAACGGCAGGGGCGGTAAGGCCACATTGCTTTCCAACTGCAGCTCCGGCGTCGGACCCGCAAATAATGGACTTGCTTGTACCGATGCCTCTCCGGCTGCGATCTCCGAAGGTTTGCTAATCGATGGATCGCTATGATCACGATTCTTTGATGGCAAAGGCTCGGAGAGAACGCTAGGCAGTGAGTCGGCGGCCGCATCCCGCAACTGCGCTTGCCATGGCCCTTCGACATCCTCTTGCACACGCGAGAGTGCTTCAAGCGACTCTGGGCTTAGCGAGTCACGCTCAATGACAATGGAAGAATCTGGCAGAACGGAACTTGTAAGCCCAGACCTGAATTTTGGCTCCTGATCAGCTTTCTGGTGTGTCGGAGAGTCTCGCACTTCAGGTAGCGCTTCTGCCGGCAATCGCAGAGGTTCGGTAGCAGGTTCAATCTGCATCGCGGAGCCGTCATCGAGCTGCTCTTCATTATCCAAACGATCTTTCTGCGTCTGGATCCGACTTAATGCTTCCAAAGCACTTTGAATAGCTTCCTCATCGTATTCACCACCCGGATTATGCGGCGTCTGTTGCACTTCAACTGAAGTTACGTGCGATTTTGGCTGCATCGATACGCCCGTCGGTGGCTTTCTAGAAGCTGTGTCGACCTGTGAAGAGTTTTCCGGGTTTGAATTGTACACTGCGAGGCTGTCATGTCTTGAAGAAGCCGGTGCAAGGGTGATCGTTGCTGCCTCCGCAGCCTTCTCATCTTCTGAGCCAGAACAAGATTGCAACTCGGAAAGCATGTTACCTTCAGCATCATGGAGGACTGGTATAGGGTAAGTTTCAACAGGCTCCTCTTTGGCAGCCACGTCATCTTGCATCTGAGGGCCGATGTTCAAGCGCTCGGTTTCAGCAACGATGGTGAGGTCGTCGATATCCATGAGATCCGGGGCTTCGACATGCTTCTCATCAATCGCTGGCAGACCAGATTCTACTTTCTCGGTAACATGTGGAAGTATGTTCGCATGCGAAGCTGTCTTTTCGCGTACCGGGCTAAGCTTGGAGGCTGGCGACGTAGGGTGTGTATGTTCCGCGCTCGTCTTGGATTCTGTGGGAACGATTGCGGTTCCATCAGACAGTGGGGCTTTGCTCGGCTTTTTGACAGGAGTTTCGGGTTGAGTGGTCGGCGAATCTACCTTCTCAGAGAGATTTGGGGGTTCGCGCTCGATGAGGCCCGCATCCTGACCTTGGTCATGCAAGCACTCAGTATCGGCGCCTGTGGTAACATCAACCTCTTCCTCGCCCTGGTTCTTGTTTGACAGCTCACTAGCGTTCACCTCGTTGGTTTTATCGCTCGGCCAATCGAAACTCTCAATATCCTGCAGACCGTCTTCCCAAGCATCCGTATGCGAACTATACGCGTAGTAATCCGGTAGGCATTGCTGGCTTTCGATGCGACCATCCGTGTGCACGTGTTGCGCGTCGTTCGTGTAACCCAGCTCTCCCAAGGACCAAGGAGCTACCACCTCAACCTCCAACATCTCGTAACCAACCAGCTCTCCATACAAGTCGGGCCCATAAGCGGTACAAGAGGGCAGGTTCGGGTCGTCAAAGCGTGCGGGAGGCTTGATCGGATCGTATTCGAAATCCATGTCGTGGGCGGGGGAGTAGATATGCATGTCTCTTGTCTAAGCAAACTGATCAAAAAAAGGCAATCGTGCAAACGGTCTTTTGTTGACGTGTAGCTCTTTGCTCTTCGGCGCGTCCAAAGGCGGCGATTGGTGGAGGTAGAGACCGGCGCACGTATCCGCTATTCTTTCATGACCAATTGATACCCGCGTGCACGAGTATCTCTCAAGTGGTGAGGGGATGGGGTTGAGAGGGCGCCGCTGCAGGTTGGTGAAGTAGTTGAGTCTTGGAGCCGTGCGTAGTCGCGGGTTCTAGCTCGCTTCTCGATAAGGTCCTGGTAAGTGAAAGGGCCGTAGCGAAAAGGACTAGTGAAGAGCACAAAGGTTACATGCTTGTAAGTGATGCAGTAAAGTGTTACTGGAATCTGTTAACCGTAATCTGTTAACCGTAATCTGTTAACTGTAATTTGTTAACCGTAATCTGATAACCGTAATCTGCAAACAGTAATCTACAAACCGTAATGTTGGTAGGGTAACGTTAGTAGGGTGATTTTAGTAGAGTAATTTTAGAAGGGTAATGTTAGTAGAGTAATGTTAGTAGAGTAATGCTGGTAGAGTAACGTTTGACGTGAACTACTAAGTTCAACTCACGGCTGAGTGTGTCGGTCCCTACTAACAATACCCCACTTTTTTTTCTCACCGTAAACTTCACCGCAGAAAGCTTAAACTCATGTACGAATGTATTATAACGCATAAAGATCCAGTTGCTGGTGGGTATCATGTTCAAGCCGCCAGCTCTTCACCAGTTCTCCAATCCTTGCTAAGCCAAATCTGATAGTGTGTGCGAAATGAAGCGCCAAAAAGCGTAGGTCGTATAGGAAGTCGCGGAGGTCTCGTCGATTAAGTCAAGGTTCGTCATATGGGTATCGCATTGCTGATAGCATTGCCCGTGTCCACGGGTAAAGCCAGTACACTGCTGCAGTCAGTATCAAGTTCGAAAATGCGTCCAGGAAACTTACCTCTTTCCAGCATCAGTTGCGCAACAGCAGCAGAGAAGCGATGCTGGCCAACAGAAGATCTGGGAAACATGAGCGGATTGTCGCGCGTATGTGGGGTATCTAGGGAAGCCGTACAGCCATGCCGACCGTGACTACGAAGCCAATAGTAGGCCCAATGACCTTGCAATGACATGGGTTCTGATCTCTGTTTGTGGGTGTTAGAAATGGCATAAACATTCAGATCGCGAGTTACCTACGTTCCGCACTGGATGCACAGCGGAAGAGGCACGAAGTCGCACATGTTGACAAGAGGAGGATGACAGAGACGCTACGAATGGATTCGCTTGTTTGGGAATACGAGATGCGGTGCTGCAAGTCGCTGAAGGGATGCAGTGGACAATAAAGATGTTGGAAGTAGGAAGGCTGACAGGAAGTCGCGATGCTTGTTGTCGCGCTAGTGTCGTCATCGGGCTTCGATTCGCGATCGCCGGGAGACACGCGTCAGCCGCAATGCGCTTCTTCAATTCGATCCTCTGCATTCACCAACAAGGCTTGCCCTGAACCTGACCTAGCCAATGTAGCTATCTACAAAATGCGTTTTCGCGAACCTGATTTCGGAGTATGTTCCTGACCAGTAGATGGCAGCTGTCTGGTACCTGCCAGCCTGCTCGAAGGCCAGAGATGACGACGCAGATTCCCAGTAAATACCGCCTCCTACTACGTGACAGAGTCCACTATACTGCTTGCGTCTTCGGTTATATTCCAAGAGTCGCTGCGAACGCGTCAAATGAAGGAATACAATCTGAGACGTTGTTTGTCGCGAATTGGGATATTAGGCGGACAGTCGCTAACACCGCAATCAGCCATCAGTCCTCCATCTCTTCCCGTATCAGCTCCACCTCGACAGTCCTTTGGCCCTCTTGGATCTTGCCCTTCAGTCCATCGTTGTATTTGTCAAAGCAGAGTCTCCATAGGCCCGGCTCGCCTTCACTCTCAACGGCGATAAAGCCCTCCCAGTTCTCAAAGGTGTAGCGCTTCTCTCCGTTTGAGCCGACGCGGGCGTCGAAAGGCCCAGCCTGCCCCTCCTCCGCGTCAACGCGTAGTCCATGGCTGAACTGGAAGATGTCGGATTCGGTATCCAGATAGATCCAATTGAGCTGCGGCGGGTTATCTGAGATGGTAGATACGATGCCTTCGTAATCTTTCTTTGGGAAAGGAAGATAGTAGCCGGTGAAAGGGTGATGCGCTGGCCCTTCGTATGTTGATAGCTGGACGTATAACCTGCCGCCGCATAGTACGATTCGACTGTTCTTGAACAACTCCTTGCGATCCTCCGGCGTTCTCATGGTCGCTCGACATCGCATGTGACATTTCTCGCCTTTCCAGTCGTCGTCCTCCTCTTCAGCCTCTTTCTTTGCGTTTTCTGTTTGACTTTGCAGGGTCAGAACGGATGTTGCGGTCATAGGGACCGTTCCCACGAGAGCCAGGAGGCCGAACACCATTTTTTCAGTCTTTTGATACGGAGACGGTACGTTGGGATACTTTCAAGGTTGCGTTTAGGTACAAAGTGTAACATGTGCTAACTGGTGAGGTAGCACATGCGGTGCGTCGGAAACCATACATCACGACGCGACAAAAAGCAATGGATCACAATCGCACTTCATGCATCTCGCGTAAAAGGCCATGACGAAAGTCAAGGCGATCATCATGTGGCTGCATGAGCAAAGCTACAAAGCCAATCAAGCAGTAGTGCGCGGCTAACTTCCGGTACCCGCTCCACTTAGTTCCAGATGATCGACAGATCAATAGTGAATGCCGGTGCCAATGACGAACAACAAGCCTCATATGGCTGATCCTTGGAACGCATGAGTTGTGAGTCCACTTTGGGAGAGAGGCTATAACCTCATTGAGGAATTCTAATCGAAGCTACAGCATTAGCCGGTTGCTTTACTCATCTCCTGCATTAGATCTGTGAGCAAGCTCGAGGCACAGGCAATACCATAGCCAATTCAGCACTCATACTCGCGAAGATCACCTCGCCGACCCGTCGATCGATGATGTACCTGCGGCTGATAGATGCGGGAGCTTCGGACATGTCCGTCCAGCACCTCCGATCGAGAAGTTTATCAACCGAGACTTGCTCGCATAACTCATCGGAATCTACTCCTTCAAACCCTCCCTATCAACACTCTGAGTTCTGGCGTGGTCAGCACAACTCCCGCATCGCAGGAAAGCGAAGATACCTCATTTGACTATACCTCCACCGCACCCCCAACTCACACCACCACAAACACCGGATTCCGAAGTCGCACCAGAATCTGAATTCAAGATGGCGGACGCAACCAAGAAGTACGCCAGTCGCGTCTTCGATACCTCCTGTCGTACCATTTCTGACATATCTACAGCCTCACCGACACCGCCAACAATGCCACCGGCGGCCGCGACGGCGGACCTGGTGACACCCTTGGCAAACTAGGCAGCGCCACCAGCGCTGTAGCACCGAAGAACAAGAACAAGAAGAAGAAGGGTGGCAATGGCGACAACGAAGGGGACGACGAAGAGACCACCGAGGGTTTCGGTCTCGACAATGGATCTGATGTGAAGGGTAGCTTGAAGGTGCACATCAAGTTAGACCTAGAAGCGGATATCAAGGTCTACGCGAGGATTAGGGGAGATATCGCGATTGGTATCTTGTAAGATAGAATAGCCCTAAAATCTGAAGATCATGTTGTGTGTCAAGTCCTAGGTCGTGACAGTTAAGCATTGATCTTTTTCTCGAATCGTTTTCGGAAGTAATCTGAGATGTTTGTTGCTCCATGTCATGTGTTCAAGCTATTGGAAAGGTGACATAAGTGAATCTGTGATGCTGAGTTGCTGAAGGGCGTAGTCTCTGGATGTGAGATGGATGCCCCGATCTACTTGACCTTTCCCGCCTCGGCTAGAAGCGCTGGACCCTGAACGTCAGGCTGCATACCAAAAATATGCTGAGAGTCATCCACCATGTCGCCAAACAATGCGCCGGCCGCTACCCCACGCCTTTCCAGAGTTCCAACAGTCGCTACATCGATTATTCTGCTCACGGCGCGACTTCCACAAGCTCTCGAGGGTTCCGCGACGCGTACAAGTGCGGAAAGCGTATGGGAAGAAAGGCAACATGGCGGGGTATGAAGACTGGTCGCAACAGCAATTGATTGCGAGAATACAAGAATTAGAGAAGCAGGTTGGAGGGAGTACCCAAGGCGCGACTGAAGAGGAGTCCCCGCTGCCTACGAACGAACAGACATCACCACCTCCAGACTCGCCAAAGTCATTAGCCTTTCGCAGAGCCAACAAGCCGCCACCGAAGGCGTTCGATGCCTCGAGATACAGCACGCGGTTGATCGCACTGAAATTTGCATATCTGGGGCAAAAGTACAATGGATTTGAGCATCACAATAACAACACCACGCCATTACCTACAATCGAGGAAGAAGTCTGGAAGGCGCTGATCAAGACGCGGCTGATAAGTCCTATACCTACGGAAGGTGACGAGAGAAGATATGAAAGGATCGATAGAAAGACCTTTGCGAGATGGGATAGGGAAGGCGCGGACGTAAGCTGGGATGGCTGCGAATACTCCAAGTGTGGAAGAACAGATCGGGGTGTCAGTGCTTTTGGGCAGGTCATTGGGGTGAGGGTTAGAAGTAACAAGCCCAAACCTGTAGAAAAGATGGGAGGCGAGGAGGAAGTGGACAACGAAGAATCATTGCCTTCTTCAAACGATACCCAGACCATCACATCAAAGCCGTTCAACGATCTCACCGACGAACTACCATACATCCAGCTTTTAAACCGCGTCCTTCCTCCCGACATTCGCGTTTACGCGTGGTGCCCCAATCCACCAGAAGACTTTAGCGCACGCTTCTCCTGTAAAGAACGGCGATACAAGTACTTCTTCACCAACCCTTGCTTCGCACCCGTACCCGGCTCCTCTGGTCTATACAAACCCAGCGCATACGGTGCCACCACGGCAGATGACCAAGAAAC